TGTACCCAGTCAGGTCAGGGATCGCTTTCGAATGCGCATCAGACGCATTGAGAGATACAATCATGAGGATTGCACCTTCCCTACAGGAAGACAACATCGTGATTGAGGAAGCGTCCAAATGGACATCATTGATCGTACCTCACGTGCCATTGGACATCAGGACGCTTGAAGGCAGAATCCCAGTCACCAACAAAATGGTGAAGAGCGAGTGCCAAGCAGTATGCGGCGCCACACCAATCCAGGTAAGGCCCACAGAAACTAAGCTTGGGCAATACTAAACGAGCTGGATTGTTCATTTCCAACAAAAACTAGCAAACACAAAATTTCGGCTATTTGAAAAGAGCGGACCAGCCATTCCCTTCTCGCGCCGAAGACCAATCTAGCAATGCCAACGTTGCTGGGGATTCCACACAACGCGTTCCTGTACCTGGAGCCAGCAATGTGGACGATCCGGAGGAGCCCACAAGACATCAGAGTGCCAGGCCAAGGTCCTAAAGTGCTCGAATTGCGCGGGACCTCACCACTCAAATGAGGGTAGCTGTATGGCCCGGCCAAGACGACAAAACGGGATAATTCTGCCCCGGAACCCCGCAGAAATACATATCATAAGAGAACGCGGAGATCGTGATTATCACGCTGCTCTAGCGCACTCAGAAAGGAAGGGTAAGGCAGTTGAAACCGTCGTCGCCCAGGATTCAACAATGTCGTGATAATGTTAGGAAACCCCTCAACAAAAGCACCAAAAGACAAATACAATACCCTCCACTTTCACCAATTGAATGTAGGAAGGGGTGGAGAAAATACGGATATAGCGTTGCAGCAGGCATGTGAGGCCGGTGCACATGTAGTCATGGTACAGGAACCATGAACAAGAAAGGAAGAGGGGAGTTTCATCACAAAAAGTCACCCTGGCTACAACAGCCATATACCATTTGGAGGAATAGAAATCCGGCCCCGTGCTGTTACTTTCACGCGGAAAGGTAACCAGGCGACTCAATTCTTTCCATTGTCATCAGGCCCGACATCTGACTATTATTTTGTAAAGATGGGCGGTCTGACCTTTGTCAAAGTATATCGTGCCCCAAGCACTAGTGGAACCTTGGAGCCCTTACTTTGGTGGGAAGTCAGAGGACTAGTGGTTGTTGGAGGCGATTTCAATTCTGTGTCACAGCATTGGCAGCCGCTAATGACAAATCAGTACGGCAATGGTAACCGGATTATGGAATGGGCATCAGCTCATGATATGGATCTAATCAGCATTGTCGGAGAGCCAACGCACAGGGATTGGAACGTCCCCGATCTAAAGTGGAGCAACACGGCTGCCATAGCATCGGTCTCCAAACGTTACCACAGTACGTCAGATCATTCGACCATCGAGGGTACCGTACTAAATCCTACAGTGTCAGATCTCTCTGGAATTGTAAAGAACATTCGTGTCAGCGACGCCAACTTGAAGGAATTTGGCGGATGCGTTAGCCAATGGACCAAACATAACCCTCTTGACTACTTCATCGACATCGAAAACTTCACGAATGATCTCCTACAAGTACTTGGAGATGCGCGGAAGATCGCAGGGAAAGTCCCAGCCATCGAGAGCGGAAAAACCGGGCCATGGTGGAGCGATGAATGTCGCACGGAATGGCAGGAATACAAGGCAGTCAGGGACAACCCGGACCTGGCAAAAGAGGCCCGCAAGAGCTCTAGAGCCGTGGTGCGAAAAGCCAAGCGAAAGTACTGGAAGAGGCAAGTGGAAGTAGTGACTACTGATGCACAGGTCTTCAAGCGCATGAGATGGGCCAAACCTCGACCAGCTGCTGAGCCCCGTCCTCTGCAGATTGACGAAAACCGTTGGCTATCTGAGCCGTGAGAGCGAGCCAGTGTGCTACAAGACATTCTCTTGGCAAGATTTAGCGGCGGGAACGACATTTTTACCTGGGAGAATGGACAGGAGGAGCGTATCCAATGGGACACGGAATTATCACTGGACGACGCGACAAGCGCCACTGTATCCGGCAATAATACGGCACCGGGAGCGGACAAGATAACGTTACGGTTACTGAAAGGCTGTTGGTCCCATATAGGACCTCTCGTGTAATCTTTACCAGGCTTGTCTGAAAATCGGCTACTTTCCCACGGCCTTCAGGGTGGCAGGAGTTGTGCTTCTTCCAAAGCCGGGTAGAAATCTGTCAACTGCCAAGGGTTGGCAACCAATCTCGCTGTTGTCGAGTTTAGGCAAAGGACTTGAGCGTCTAGTTGGTAAGAGAATAGCATGGCTGACAGTATGTCACTAAGTTGTTCACCCAAAACTATTCGGCTCCGTACCAGGACGATCTACAGTCGACCTTGCATCCTGTGTAATCCATGATGCTGAGGCAGCCATGAGAAGCGGAAAATGTGCGGCTATGGTCATACTCGACATTCAAGGTGCATTTGATGCAGTCCTTCACAATCGACTGCTCAAACGCCTTCGAGAACAAGGCTGGCCACAATCCCTGTGCCGGTATATTCAGATATTTCTTTGCCAACGAAAGGTTCAGGTCAAATACCGTGGTAAAATCACACAAGAGAAGATACTGGAATGTGGAGTACCTTAGGGTCGCCACTATCGCCACTTCTTTTCATGCTCTACATCGCCGTGCTTTTTGAGGATCATGGTCTAACGAGCAGGTTTGGTTATGCTGACAATGTAGCTATTGTCAGAATTGGAAACACCGCGGCAGATGCTATCTCCGCAGCTCAAGACGACCTCGACAGACTTATCCTTCTCACAAGAAAACACAGGATCGATTTTGACCTAGAAAGGTCAGAACTTCTAGTAACCGGAGGGGAGTGTAAGGGCTTAATGAATTCAGATGAACTTGAAAGACAATAACTTAATAGGAATCAATAACTTGTTCCATGGGAAGACCATCTCCCACGTACTCTCCCATACGTTATATGCTCTGTGTAGAATAGTCTTAACTCCCTCCATTGGCCACTTGAGAATCATCCTTTCTCCCGGCCAAACTCTTCTCCTGTATCATACTCCCCATCTGATGCGTACCCCCTTAGCGCCCCTTTCGTATATCCAGGAGCGTTGCCCTGCCACTACCTTACCTCGGAGACAGAGTGGTTCTAGTGACCAGTCCCAATCCGGGCAAAGCCCGTCACAGAGAGCCTAGAAAGAAAATCCAAGCGACTAATCTTTCCATCTTGGTGAAAGATCGCCGGATCGAACCGTCACCTCATATCCGGTGACTAGGAGTCTGGCTTGATTCGCAGCTAAACTTCAAGTAACATGTACAGGAATGGACTGGAAAGGCTAATCGTCTACTCCACTTCTTACGACATTTAAACAATGTACAACGTGGTGCAGCTCCTGGGCCTCTGATTCGTGCAGTACAGGTATACGTTCTGAGTACAGCTCTATATTGGGCAGAAGCGTGGTGGCTGGGTCTTACTCGAAGAACTACACTGAAAGATAAAGAAGTCGGCACCGAAGTAGGCTGGCACATATCTCTGTTGGGAAAAATGATAATGAAAGCTATTCGAGTAGCACTCACAGCGTGGCGTACCACTCCCAATAGCGCTTTTTATCGTGAAGCGGGAATACCCCCGGCATCGATAATTCTTCAGCAAAAGATGCTGCGGTCTGCAGCTCGTATGCGAAGAATGGATATCTGGCACCCTCTAGCCCTTCGGGCGGCTGAGGATCCGAAAGAGACAATAAGACGCTTAGGTCTTAGATCAGGACAAAGAGATCGTTTGTTCAGACAACCAAAACGGTACATGACACGCCTACAATTGAGTCTGCGTCGAGTTCCGACAGCCGAAGGCCCTGGAAAACTATACTTCCCACGTGGCACCCCAGCATCAATTCCATGTAGTCGAGAAAATGAAGCTGTGTCTGGAAGCATAAAGCGGTGGTTAGCTTCCCGTCCAGCTAACACAGTCTTCGCTTTCTCTGATGGATCATCATCGGATCCCAGAAAATCAGCCTGGGGTTATGTAGTATACGAAGGAGGCAAGCTAGTTGGAAGTGGCTCCGGTCCACTTCCCGGAGAAGAGGTATTCGACGCAGAAGTTGTAGGCGCCATAAAAGCCTGTAAGGCTACAATATAGATAGGAGAAGACTTACCGATCTGCATTCTTCTGGACAACCAAGCGGCCACCCAGGCGCTCGAAAGAGGAAGATCTAGCTCCTCGCAGTCAGTGGTGGACAAGTTTTCATCGCTGAGACACAATAAGCGTGTGGAAATACGCTGGATACCCGGTCATGTTGGGATCAAAAGCAATGAAGAGGCCGATGAGCTGGCCAATTCGCCCTTGAGATCTCTCAACAACAGGTCATTAACCACAGCTTTGCTCGGTGGAGAATCTCACAATCTAACCTTTGCGGCACTAGGAAGGTGGATTAAACTGCGGGGTCAACAACTCGTGGAAGAGTGGTGGCAGAAGTTTCAGCCGGAACACTACATAGATCTAGACCTCTACATGCGCTGCAAACAGTCACTGGAACTGGCTCTACCAAGATGTGCGTACCATCGTCTAATTGCGGCAAGAACTGGCCACGGGAACTACACTGACTACCATCGACGTTTCAACCCCGAACATGAAGACCAGAAATGCGTTTGCGACCGAGAGAAAAGGCCCTGTCATTTTTCATAGTGCCGACCTGCCTTGCAATGTTAGAGAAGATGTGAGAAATTGGCCTCGCTTGGAGCCAAGGAAATGATTGGGGAAGAGGGATGGCAGAAGTTTTTCGAATCCCTAACTACAAGCAGATGTTACAGTCTGCCTAATAATTAACAGGTTGGGAGATAACCACGCTGAGATTGTTTCTGACCAAAGAGGAGATGGGTGTGGAAGATAGGAATGCGGCGCAGCGCGCTGCAACTCAGACATTTATTGTTCCTTTTTAATTCTTTTATCGCTTCTGGATTTAATGCTGGTCATGTAGGTGGCAATGAGTTCTCAGAACCCATCTACCCGTGTCATGTTAAAGACATCATATTCAAATTATGGACACGACGACTAGAATATTGAGGTGGAGCTCATGCTTATGGATATCATTGCTGCACATACTATGCCACAGCAGGAGGATCAAGAGGAGCACTAGGAAGACGAGGATGAAGAGGCAGCTGAGCCGCCTGCCACAATTAATCAAGCACGAAATGGCCTCAAGCGCCTGCTCAGCTTCCAGGAGCTCACGATACTCGTACATGTGGGAAGAAGCCTCCAGCAACAGTCAGAGCTCAATAGAAGTCAAAGGACATAAATTAGCTGGTTTTGTTAGAATTTAGAATAATTGGTGCTATCAAGTAGGCCACGTTGGTGATACACACGTGACTGCAAATTCTGTACTTAGTTTCACTTCGGTAGTTACTTAAATCAATGCGCTCTACAATCTCATTGACCAATGGGGTATTATTTCCTTCAATAGCTTTAAATAATAGATGAGATAGAACGGTATAACGATACAAATTAGCGGCACGGAATCACATCGTTATGACTAGTTCGCACTGTAATTCTGGCCATTCATGTGGGGGAAAGATAAAGGAATCTACGTTACTCGATTCGCTTCGTGCCGGTAGCATCGGCGTTGATCTTACATGAGGGCGAAGCGAAAGATTGTTAAAGTATCTGCAGCCAATGAACGGTCTATGATTAGCTATTAAAGTGTTACAGTTTGACCGTTGTTGGAGCTTAGGCGGATCCCTAAGCATAACAATAAGAATTCTTACAATAAGACTTCATGGGGAGTGATAGATGAATCCTAACAAGACGGCACTACTAGGCAGGAGGTCGAAGCGTTACTACAGCTAAGTGAGACCTGAAATTGCGTAGCTTGGAAACAAGCATTATCCCTAAGGATAATCCACCACTTTGTAAATTCCAGCGAGGTATCATTTCACACAAAAACCTGTCAGCGGCTGCTAGTTTTTTTCTCCTCATATAGTTTAATAAATTGATTGGTTCATCACAAACTCGGATTCTTTCACACAAAGTAAGCTTTATGAATGCATAGATTAGTATATTTATAACCAAGCAGCTTTACACCTTAGCCCTTAGCCTCAAGGATACATGCAACTATTTCAATCGGTCTATATATAATGCAATTACTTTGTGATAATATTTTCTGAGAGTATAGCTTAACATGCAATCATACCCCATTCTATCTGTAGATTTGAACATGAATCGGCGTGCAAAAATTAGAAGTTTATGGAGAGCTAAGGTCCCTAAGATAAAGGATTTTTTAGCAGAATTAGTTAAAGGCTAGTCAGAAATTGGTTTTGTTTAAATTTTGATTCTTAATGGGGCTTCAAGGAACCACATCTAAAAAAATTAACATAGCTGTTTATAGAAAAAACATCTTGCTGGCTCAAGATAATTGTATGATGTAGAGATATACTTGAGTCGTGACATGCGTATGATATGATTTCCTACTACTGCCGCTTGATGCGAATTAATTTAGGGGTTGGTTAACGTATACTTCTTGAGTTCGAATGAAAGTCATGCTGCTTATCTATCATAGTGTGTTATTGAAGCTACTATCAGCAGTACAATAACCAGTAATGAGCGATTAATTGATTGCTAGAGTATGCGGAGTATTGAGAAGCATTTATTAAACCCGGGTTCCGCTTTCTTCTTGATTTAGAGAAAAATATGTATATTTGTTATCAAATTATGAATTAATATCCTCGTCTGATTGGATCATAAAATTTTTTATTTAAAATCTTGATACGAGGGCACGACGATTAAAATAATTCCGCACCCTGACCATTTGTTTGATTGGTGAAAATAAGAAACTCCAATCAAATGTTAATCGCTTTCGTTAGTTAGTCACACTGTATTTCGCCTGCTAATACAATCAAATCAATATTTATACATTGGGTGAAAGTCGATCGTATTTTACGCAACTTTCAATCTAAAATTTGTTAGATAAGGCCTGACTTAAGTAGATTCATATACTCACATCATCAATAGAATTTTGCAAGAACTTTCGAGCTTCTAGCCCAGCCCAGATCTTGAGCATGGAAAAGTCGCCCTGTCTTATTATTCCACTACCACTCTGGGAGCCTAGTTGTCTTAATATAGGCAATGCGGTAGACAAGAGATCAATATCTGGATTTAGGATTCTACCAATACCTTCCAGTAGAAGAATGCTTATTACAACATTGACAAAGTCTCCTTCCATCCTGACATGGTGGCTTCGTACCATACTCAACACATCATTCAAGATATCTCCAATCTTCACGTTACTTAACGCTAGTGTGCAACTTTTCACGCCGAGAATAAGGTGCTGCATTTTCAGTGCGAAAATCTCCTCGTCAATGACGGCATCGGGCTGGCGGCAACGTGCACACATCAAATGACCCGCCCTATATCCATCAAACATGGCAACGGCTTTGAAAAGGTCAAGAAAATTTTTCCGATTTGTAGCATTTAATTGAGTAACAAGCCCAGTATCAATAAAGATGAGCTGGGGGCAGAATCCCTCGTCATGTAGCTTTAAAAGTTCTGCTTCCCACAATGCTTTATGTTTCTTTTGTCGATATGGTCTTAAACGTGCAAGAGCTTGTTCAGTTACGTCAGGATTACAGGAAAGATTTTCTTCCTCCTGAGAAAGAAATAACAGACGAGGTTTCCCGGATTCGTAAAAGCGAACCATTATGTTCCCTGGATGAAGATCCGCATGTACGAAATTGTCTATCAGAAGCATCCTTAAAAAAGCATCTAAACCCTCATCAGCTATTTCTTGCTGAAATACACCACCACCATTTTCTATAAAATCCGACAAAGCAATTCCTTGAGCATATTCTTCGACAAGAACTTTTCGAGTCGTAAACTGTAGATAAGGATAAGGAAACCAGGCAGTAGTCCTTTCCTTAAAGTTTTTTCTGAATTTAGTGAGATTGGCTGCTTCTATACGGAGATCAAGCTGTAGTCTCATCATTTCACCAAATTGTTCGACTTCATCAGGCAGTGATAACCATTCCATGTTAGGTATAATATTCAGAAGAGCAGCGAAGAATCCCATGATTCTCAAATCTCTTCTGACGATTCTCTCCACACCTGGGTGTAATACCTTGATTGCAACGTACGAGGACGGCACTCGTTGAGGACTACTCTTCATCAAAGTATCAACATTCTTCCGAACACTAGTTCTCAAAGTTTTCTCTTCTTGTATATCAGAATCATTGAGTAAAGCCAGATCGGGTTTCAATCTTGCTTTATAGACCTGTGCTATAGCACCAACACCTAGTGGTTTTTCTTCAAAAACTTCAAAGATCTCTTCGAAGGATCTGCCGCCGAATGCCTGTGATATGATTTTTCGTGTCTCGAGAAGAGAATGTGCTGGTGCATTTGAATGCAATTGAGACATTATCTCACACAATCTTGAGGGAAATATATCAGATCTTGAAGCTGCCCATTGTCCTAGCTATTTATTTTCTCTTCATTAGTAGTTGTACGTAATGACATAGATTCTCCAAACTAACTTTAATAAATGCTGGTCCAGCTTTTTCCATTCCTTTCACCAGAAAAGTGAACCACCAGTTCTCACCAGCTTTCCCGCACCATAATACTGGCACTGCGATAATTATTGGTACGAAAATTGTAATCAAGTGAAGGAATCTTAAACCAGTGCATAATGGCTCCCATAAGTATATATTTACGATCATCACTGCATTTTTTTTAAGCCATTGCCATCTGCTTGGGTCATCTTTAAATTTTTCTTGGATTTCCTCTAGTGATGCTGCCAGCATGCGCCCCTCAGCAGTTTCATTTGTACCATTGTTCTCTTCCTCCGAAATCTGAATAAATGTGGCCGGGCTAAGACTGATTGTTCCTGCTAATAAAAGACCCTTTCTCACAGGTGGTTTGATAAAATAGCTCCTAAAAGCTCTGTGGTAAGATAGACGGTGTATTCTCCTAATTGGAAGCGAGCGCAAAATTTGGCGCGTGAACATACGACTCGAAGTAGATATTAGCTGCATGATCCTCGATGAAGAGGATTTTGTGACGCTATCGTGGTTCCATGGTTGGCAACATAATCACCGTCAGTGTGAATTGATTCCCAGGTAGCGAGCCAAGTGTCATGACGAATGGGCCCGAGCAGGATGTAGTCCCACTATATTCAAGTATCTCACCAATACCATGCTACTGCATATGACATTTGATGGTCAATTACAAGGCCTGTAAGCTTTTCCCTGAATCAAGGTTGTACAGCTGTCATTTTACTAAACCCTACAACATAAAATAATTTCCATCATGATTCTGGATAAATGATCCAACTATGCTTGGAATGTAAAGTACCGATATGAGTGCAATAAAGTATCCGTTACATCTTTCCACCATACATAGCTCGCGATGAACTTCGTAATTTTAATGGATCACACTAGATTTAGTTTAATCCACTGGTTGGTTGTATGTCGTGTTACTAAAATCTAAGGATGGAAGATACCACTCATTTCTTTACGACACATAGGGCACTCCGAATACCCAACAACCTTCCAAAACCCTATGTTCTAGTGTGAAGCTAATCCTTCTATTCAGTGTCCATCCACATTGATATAAGCCATCTACGTTCTACTTGGGATGCATTTTTAGTGATTGAATTTATCCACTCTTCAACTGAGAATTTACCATCATAGGTTTGATCTAGATTGTGTGTATTCAGAGGGCAAAGCAATAATGACATGTTAATTAATTGTATTATTGTTCTACCTTAGTCTAAGACTATGAAGAGCATGTAAGTCTCTGCCTACAGGCCAATGATGCCTATGCCAGTAGTATATCCCCTCCTGTGCCTCCCATACAGCTCCCCTCAAGCAGTACCACCCCTCACATGTCCTCATTCGGTCATACAATAAGAGCCCTTTGCCCTTCATTATCTCCCCTCTCCAGCCAACGAAACGATGGCCATTTGCAGGTGTATGGCAGCCGGGAAAATTCGCAAAAATCACTGGATGCGGGGCTCTTCTAGTACCGACATTAGGACTAAATCCGAAGCCACAGTGATCCTTCCGAGGCGCTCGAAGAGGCCGGCTAGCTGGGCGTTGCAGACTTGTGGGTACCTCGGGAAATTCACACTCTGCCTTTCTAGCCTCCTTCCAACCCCTTCCCAAAGTCGTGCTGAAATTTCAGAAAAGTCTTGACAGAGCGTGATTGCTGTTTGGTGGCTTAGCCTAAATTCTTTTGTACCGTCCATGACTCTGAGGAGTGCCAATGACTCATCGCCAATAGAAGCTCTCCTGGCTAATCAGCCGAAATCTCGGTCTTAGTGCCTACAAATGTTCTAAAGTCGGAAGCATCTCAGCAATATCAGACCTATCATTCCCACGAGAGATCTCTTCCTTATATCTTTCCACGCCCCTGTCGCCTGTCCTTCCTCAAGATGTATAGCCATCTTGTAACAACATTCCCACATAAGCCATGACTCGAGATTTATATATTATGACTTAATTTCCTCCATGCGGGTAGAATTAGCGTCGTAAATTTGTAGTGGATGATGATCGGTAATGAATGAGGCAAGCTCCTGCTTGCAATCGGAGTAACGCCTTTATCGGCCGTTGAGGCTAGATGGTGTGTTGTGAGGTTAAGGTAGGACTACAGTGAGAATAACATGACCGATATTGATGAGAATTCGCCGATTTTATATGTATTTGCTTTTGACTTTTATTCGGATGCGATTCTTCTTGGCTATCCCAGATATGCAGAGCATACTAAGCGATTACACCGGCACCACTGGAAGGTGAAGAATTCGACTTAGCCGACGACCTTCCGATATTTTTTTTTTTTTGCATCAGATTTTAATTGCGTATGCAGCTATCTTGCTATGACACAATATCAAAGAAAAGTACAGAAAAGATGACTCAATTTACAAGAGGGGCACTCATGCCTTGGATTTCATTTGCAAGTACCACTGAGAAGTTATAGTGGCTTTTTCTTCAACCTCAAGTCAGCCCTCATCCGTGAATACCCGCCCAGGGGAACGTCTCCAAAACCCTGAGTTATCCAGACATGCCTCCATCATCCGTTCACATTTATCCGCGCGAAATATGGTCTGAGGCGTCTCCTTTCCAAATGGAGTAGGTACCCAGGCTAGTCAAACCATACCAGAGAACACCACCAGGGGGCGGACCACAACACCTTCCATCGTTTGCTTGTTTTTATAGTGTCAGCTGCACTCTCGCAAGCGAAGTCTTGGCGCGCACAAAGCTCAATTCGTAAAACTCTTGCCAAAATTCGAAATTTCACGCCCGTCGAAAACGTATCCCTCTTCTGCATCATCTTGTGAACTTGTCCTGATCCCTCTCACGTCCATCCCAAAGAGCTATCTCCCAGATTTGTGCTCCACGCTTTGCTTCCTCCGTCGGGTATAAATATCGGCGTGGGCGTGTATTTGGTAACCGGCTGAGGCCAGAGAAAGTCGACGAGAGGTGTGGTCATTGAAACCAGGATGTACTAGGTTGTACTTGTAGACTTGATGAAGCTTAGTTGAGAATCGGACTCTTTGGGAGTGAAAGATTGACGTAGTGGAGTAACTTGAATTTTTGCCTCGTGGGCCAACTTCTTTGATATTGCGAAATTTGACTGAACTTGGCTCTGGGAGAATATTTCACTCCCAGGTTCGTAGAGGATACCGCGTACAGGTGTTCAGTCTTGCCCTCCCCTTCCGATATTAAAGGAGTGGCAGGAAGACAGATTACTCGCTTCGTTTAGGACACGAGTAGAAGACATTAGTATTGGCTCTGCAGAGCAAGATTTTTCGTGGACTATAAATGATGTATATAAGATAGGAGAGATGTATCGTACTTTTATAAAGTCTTTATTAACATAACAGATTTTATTTCGTTCTGACAGTCTTTAATAATTCATGCTTGACTCATTCATGATATCTCGCAAAATCGGCTTGTAAATTCCTAGCTGTAGTCAGTCTGTAGTACGCCCACCTAGGTGAAGCAAGCTCTGTAGGTCGCTTCTGAGTCATCTTGAGACTCAGGTCTGTAAAGTAATTGGGTGTATTTTTTCTACCACCATGCAGTCACCAGTTCGAACGTGCACTCCCTTATAAAAAATAATCAATTAGGCGATGCAAACGTGAATTTTTTTCTGCGATTTAATTCTTTGGGAAGAGTCACATTTTCCCACTCATCTGGGAGGTTCTTTGAGGTCGCTTTACCAAGCCTATCTGCCTTATCAATCCGCTCGATACCTAAGTGCCCTGGTATCCACTGAATTACCAGTGACTGGTGGTTTTGAAATATGTTCGCAAATCTATCAAATATTTCCTTGAACATGGCAGGATGGCGAAATGGTACACCATCCAGGTTGTTCTCCATAACAGACTCTAGTTAACTTGAAAAACTGTCCCATTGGAGGCAGGAGAGCTGGTTCGAATCCAGCAGGAGTTAAAATCTACCAAGAGATACCAGATCTGTACAGACACGTGCATGTCAATGTTTCATGCAAGTCCATATCCTTAGACTTGAGGACGACCCGTAATTGGGGTATCGTAGATTTGGAGGGAAATGTATTAGATAATGTAGGAAGTATGGCATGAGTATTCAGAACACGTGTGACATGAGATGTATTTCCTGGCTGCAGGAGAGAGAAAATAAATCATTTGCATGCAAGCGTTCTTCAATTAACACAAGTCTTATTAAAAACTTAGTCCTTGTATTGTGTAATGATCACTTTAAGGAGTTCTAATATAAAACATGGAAGGTAGACTTGTCTATGAAATCAACTCGTTAGAGGTGTAAAATAATTATCCATCAAAACGGATCCAACACTCGAGATTTACATCTTGAGTGAGGGTCCGTGCATGCTAACAAAACAACCCAATAACCACGTGATAAACAAGCTAATTGTACAGGGTATCTTGCTCTCCGGTTCTCCTAACTCCTGGCTAATGATGACAACTCAGACCCATAATAAGGGTCATGAGGATCCTGGAATTGCAATGCATTAGACTTATTTCTCAACAAGTCTTCTCAATATCTACGTTTATGTTATACGAACACATAGTATTCTTCCAAGGCAGAGATTCAACCCGTATGTGCTCATAATCTTAACAGTAAGGCTTACATACCACACTCTCTCGCGGTGATATCGTATTTGTGAGCTGACGAAAGCACACTCAGACAACCATGAGTTTTTTCAAGCATTTCCCTGTCTTGGATATGCACTGTTAGTATGTCAAAGGTCATACACTAAAAGTCTATTAGTTCACTTAAAGTTATGAGAGTACTTGTGTAAGTATTTCGAACTATCGTTCAGAAGAAATGCGCATTCATGGTTTATTCGTGTTCTTCTGAGTTGATTCTATGGAATTGCTGTGTAGCCTACGTTTGGATAAAGCATTATTCGAATGTCAGAATCCACAAATCAAAAGAACTGACCAATGCGATGCAACAACCACCGACACCAAATAACTCCAGCTAGATGAATCATTCCGACATACACGGAAGAGGTTGCACGCTGCAAGGATTAACCTTGAGCGATATCATTAGATGAAATCTGAGTGTGAATCTTTCAAACGTCTATTTGAGTCATTCTACATAAAATATTTGCCTTCCGAAAAGTACCTGCATGGGCCTCAAGGCGCCAAATTAGGAGATTTTATTTATTATTCTCCGGAAAACCCTCTACCTGCCTCTGCGCAATGCCTGGATAGTTTCTAAACTATCTAAAAGCACCTAAATTGGGCTGTTGCCAGCCACCAATGAAGCTGCTTCAAGAGATTTATGGGCGTCCAAAACTTCTGCGTCGTAAACCTTTGCATCAAGGAAAAGTCCAAAGTCGCTCCCGATGATTTTTGGTTTTCTAAATAGAGTATACTCCCATGAAGATCATGCCAAGCCGCAAGATGAGCCGTCTGAATACGCGCCTACAATGTCTGTTGACAAGTGCTCTATCTATTGTTTGGCCTGAGTAGCTTCAGACTACTTGTCGAGTGTCACTAATCGACAGCGTTTTTCTGTTTTTGAAT